ATTGTTATCTTTGAACTTTTTTAAATTTTTTTAAAGCAAATAGGTAAAAATATATATTAAACCTGTTAAATTAAAATTTCAGTGAATATGTACCATAGAAAAGTGACAATTGTCATAATGGCCATTTTTAATCTTTTTTAAATTTTTTTGAAGCAAAAGGGTAAAATAATAAATTATAAACATGTTAAATTAAAATTTAAATGAGGATGTACCATAAAAATGTGACAATTGTCATAAACGTTTATTTTAATCTTTTTTGAATTTTTTTTGAGCAAAAGGGTAAAATTATATATTGTAAACATGTTAAATTAAAATTTCAGTGGAGATCTACCATAGAAAAGTGACAATTATCATTTTTAATTTTTTATTTAATTTTTTTTAACTTACAGGGTAAAATAATAAATTGTAAACATGTTAAATTAAAATTTCAGTGAATATGTACCATAGATAAGTGACATATCTAATTCTCAACTCCCTTTTGAAATTATTTTAATATATATATTTTGAAATTATCACATTACTCATATCCATTATTTTTAAATTAGGTTAATATGATCTTGTTGGGAAACACTTAAAGCTCTTGGCAGATGATAATAGTATCATATATGTTAAATTTTTTGAGCCAACCGGAATGGAGTTGAACTAGAAAGATGCATCAATATAAACATTATATTTTTGGGAACAAATTTAAAAATATTTTTTCTTTAATCTTTTAAATCAATTTTAGATCTTAGAAACTACTATTTGGATATATCTAGTAAAATACGCCCCCCTCTGATTATACTATTCATACAAAAAATCTATTTATATTGTTATCATCTAAATCAGTCATATATATGAATTTTTATTTATTAAAATTTCAATATAAACAATAACTTTATAATGAAATAGGTTATATAAATAAGATTTAAAATATCACATTATTTAACAATGTACGATTAAGCTTTATAATTAAAATATCATCAAGTATAAGAATCGATTAAAAAATGCTCCTTAGAATATCTTTGAGATTTTTTTTATTTTGCATTATATATAAAAAAAAAAATTTTTTAATTTTAACTTTCTTGTTTTTTCCTTTTATTTTTATTTTCACTTGTTTATTATATTTTGAAATAAAAAATCAGGAATTAATAATGTTATATAAAATAAAAAAAATGAATAAAATAATTGTTTTATTGAGGCCAACAAATAAAACCCCCATTTATAAATTTGGGTGGGATACATTTATTTAATGTTTTTTTTATTTATATTTATAAAAAATCAGTATCGTCCCGTAGTCTCGAATTATTATTAACTTTATACGTTTTGTCGCTTTACGAAAAGGTGAAAAAAGGTGAAATTGCATACATCATCGGCATAGCATATAAAATTTAGAGAGTTGTGTATGTTATTATCATATTGTTGATTCAGATATCGAGGGTTAAGAGCATATTCTTGTTTGAAGGATTTATTCAGAATATCGTTCATTATTACATTAAATAGCATAGGTGATAAAATGCATCCTTGTTTCAGCCCTCTGTTGGCCTTAAATGGTTGTGATTTTAAGTTCAGATGTTGTGGTATCACGTTATGATTATCGTATATTATTTTTATAAGCGAAATCAGATGTTTATCTATTCCTATGTCTTCCAGTAAGGGCCAGATCTTGTGCTGTATGATGGAGTCAAAGGCTTGACTTAGGTCAATCATTAGGGCAAATATTGGGGACTTATGCATTCTAGCTTTCTCCAGAATAACCTTAAGCGCCATGGTTAGTTCCGTCGTGTTCCTGCCCTTCCTATATGATGTGATGGCGTTTGAGAGGTTTCCATCGATGATTGGTTTAATCCTGACGGCTATAATATACGTGAACATTTTTAGGGTAACTGGGATCAGTGCAATTCCTCTGTAGTCCTTCAGGCTAGTCGGGTTCTTATTTTTAGGGAAATTAAGTATTATCGATGTCATCCATTCCTCTGGGAAATTGCCAATATTCCATATCTCATTAAAGAGGGGAAGCAGTAGACTAGCACTTAAATCAGCATCTATCTTCCAAAGTTCCGCAAAAATCCCATCGATTCCGGCTGCTTTATGGGTTTTTAGTCTTTTAATGGCATTTATTATATCTATTCTGTTCAGGTTCCGATTAGGTGGTTGGAAAGGATAGTCACATAATGGTTTAGGCCACCTTGTTCTGTAAAGGTTCATGTAATGGTCTGTCCATATCGCTAATTGTTCCCTGGGGTCCGTTATAATTTTATTATTTTCAATGTGTAATCTTGGTAGAGGATTGGATTTAAAGGTAGTGAGTAACTTAAGAGATTGGAAAGCCTTGTAAATATTATTGTTGTCAAAGCTATATTGTATGGATCTAGATAAGTTGGCAATAAAATATCTTTTATCTGTTCTTATGCAGTGAGTTATGAACTTCTGTGGTGTTTAGTATATTGGTTATAGGAGATATTTGTTGTTAAGTTTTTAATTATCTGTATTGTTGAAGGGGATAGCCATTCTTTACGCTTAATTCGTGGTCTTAATAAGCATGAATTCATACAGCTTGATAAACTTAGTTTCATATCCTTCCAAGTTATATTAGGATTGATCATGCCATTTTGGGTGTTTCTCCATGTTGTTAGATTGGTGATGAACTCTTCCTTTATAACCGGATCATTCAGCTGTGCCAAGTCTTTCCTCATTATGAAGTGTGTAGAGTTAAGGTGGCTATGTTGATTTCGGTTTGGAAAAATGGTATTTTTTATCCTTAGCTCGCATCCTAGTGGGTAATGGTCCGTAAATAAGGTGAAGTTCAGTTTGCTGATGACTTTGATGTCCTTCACCCACTTAAATATATTGTTGGAAATTACAAAGAAATCAATTTGTGAGGTAGTGCCAAAAGATGGGCTTTTGTAGGTCATGGTGTGATGGTTAGGATGATTGAAGAAGGTATTTCCTATTTTCAAAATGCCTCGGTTGGGAAGCCTAACAATTCTACCTGCCTCGGGAACGCCACTCTAGTACAAAGTACGAACACTAATGGCAAAAAACTAATAGAAATCTGTGAACACTTCAATTTGAAAATAGGAAATACCTTCTTCAATCATCCTAACCATCACACCATGACCTACAAAAGCCCATCTTTTGGCACTACCTCACAAATCAAAAAAGATTAAAAATAACGATTATGACAATTGTCACTTTTCTATGGTACATCCACATTTAAATTTCAATTTAACATGTTTACAATTTATTATTTTACTCTGTTGCTTCAAAAAAATTCAATTCAAAAATAACGATTATGACAATTGTCACTTTTCTATGGTACATCCTCATTTAATTTTATATTTAATAAATTTTTATCTACTTGCTTTAAAAAGTTCAAAAATAACGATTGTGGCAATTTTTAAAATCATTAAAACCATCTCGAAACATGCTCAAAAAAATTTTTCTTGCCTATTTTATACCTAAAATTATTTTTATAGGTTCTGATATGAATATTATGACAATTGTCACTTTTATAGTTTACACATTAAATATTAATTCATGTTTCAAATAATCATTTTTCACTATTTTCAATTAAAACATATGTGAAATAAGTATTATGACAATTGTCACCTTTATATACTTTACAATCACTGAAACCATCTCAAAACATGCTCAACTAGCCTTTTTTAATTATAATTATTTTTAAAGGTTCTGAGATGAGTATTATGACAATTGTCACTTTTATAGTTTACATTAAATATAAAACATTAAAATTATGACATAACATTTTTAAAATAATCATTATTACTTATTCCAAATATTAAAAAATGCAGTCGGTATTATGACCAATTTTCACATTTACAACCTATTCAAAAAAAATATTTTCATTAACATAAAATAAAAAAAATATATATATTGAAAATTTTATTTTTAAAGAATTTACCAAAAATCTTCAAATTTTTATTTGAAGATTTTTGTAAAAATCTGTTCAAAAGTGCTTCTTTTTTGCACTTTTGAACCCCTATATGTCAGGAACCAGGTGTGCTAGCGAGCTAAAATAAACGGCTTTCTCGTTTATATACCTATCTAAATAATTCCAGAAATTTTTAACAATTTTAAAAGGGGTTGGCCAAAAATGTGCCATTTTGATTGATTTGACATGGAATGGCCCATATATTAAATAAAATTGCCTGAAATTGGAGAAACAACAAAAAAAAATTTATATCCAAAAGTATAATCATTGTAAGCAATTTTGACATTATATTTGTAATTTACAATTATGTAGTTTTTAAAAATGAAGGCAGATATGATGATAAAAATACATCATTTTGCCAATCTAAACCCTAAAATCCCCCAAAATAAATTAAGGAGTCTAAAATTTTGGGAATTTCAGTTACATTAACTTTTTTTGCTTATTAATTTTTTAAAAATCAAAGGGAGTCCAAAATCTCACCCCTTCTGCTCATTTATATAGAATGATCATTTGCCTTTATCTAAATTAAATCTTTTAAATAAGGTGTGATCTTGCAAAATTTAAATAAATAAACAAAAGTAAAAGGATTTGAATAATTTTTATTTTATTAAATATATATATTTAACTTTATTTTAAGTAGTAAATAGTTATTTTTTAGTATCTACTAAAAATATAGCAATAGAATTAGCTACTTTTTTTTACTATTTTAAAAATATAGCATACTAATTTAAAAGCATTGCTATTTATATCTCAAATCTTATAGCAGCAATATAATGACTAATAGAAAATTTTCCCAAATTACTATCACTTGTCAAGAAGTTAATAACATTACTTTTTTTTTAATATAAGTAGAATCATAAGAAATATACCACACTACTTTAAAAGCATTGCTATTTATATCTCAAAATATCTTATAGCAGCATGAGTAATAGCAAATTTTAACATTTATATATCTATATACCCAAATCTATCACTTGTCAAGAAGTTATTAACATGATTTCATTAAAAAAAATATTATTAAGTTTAATTTTAATGTAAAATTATTTAACATATAACTTGTAAGTACATCAAAAGGAAGAACAGTATATTCTTGTTCGGTCAGTCTAATGAACTTTCTATCTAATTAATTTATAATATTAAAATTATTTTGAAGTTATTTATATTAAAATAAATAATATTATATTATACATTGAGCTGCAGAGTAAGCCGAATGAAATAATGATATAATGGATATTATAAAATAAATCTTCATCCAGTTCATAAGGTGTTAAACAAATAAAATGAAATGGTTATGGGCCGCTATTACGGTTCGGGTATACTCTTAAAAATATCAAAAAGACAAATAAGCTAAAATGGCTGTCAAAATGGCCCCTATAAGTTTGAAGCGAGAGATTTAAAAAAATATCAAAAATTTGACTTTTACAGATTAGATAGTTTTTTCTATTTAATTATTTAATATTAAATTAATATCATTATAAATTTTAATAAATACCTTAATCAAATATTTAATATCATTATAAATTTTAATAAATACCTTAATCAAATATTTAATATAATTATAAAATTAATATTAAAATCATTTAATATAAATTTTAATAAATCTATAATTGTAATATTTAACATAATATATTATTAATATAATATTTAAAGTAATCAAATTAATTTGATATAAAGAAAAATATATAAATTGTTGTAATATAAATTATAAATTGTAATATTTAACATAATATATTATTAATATAATATTTAAAGTAATTAAATTAATTTAATATAAATATAAATATATAAATTGTATTAATATAATTTTAGTAATATATAATTATAAATTTTAGTAATATATAATTATAATATTTAATATGATGTAATCATAATATAATAATGAATATTATTTACATAATTAATATATAATTAAAATAGTAAAATTTATATTATATATTTATAATATTATTTACATATTTTATATATTTATAATATTATTTATCTATTTAATATAATTTATTCATAATTCAATATTATATATAATACAATATGGTTAATATTACTACGAACTCCATTAATAAAATTTTTATAGTAGAGATTTATACTTATTATTCCTATAAATATCAGATTTACTCATATTTTAATTTTTTTTCTAGATTTCTAATGATTAATGGGAATATATTAATCTCTTTTCCTACTAGGAACTCCATTAATAAAATTTTTATCGTAGAGATTTATACTTATTATTCCTCTAAATATCAGATTTACTCATATTTTAATTTTTTTTCTAGATTTCTAATGATTAATGGGAATATGTTAATCTCTTTTCCTACTAGGAACCCATTAATAAAATTTTTATCGTAGAGATTTATACTTATTATTCCTATAAATATCAGATTTACTCATATTTTAATTTTTTTTAGATTTCTAATGATTAATGGGAATATGTTAATCTCTTTTCCTACTAGGAACTCCATTAATAAAATTTTTATCGTAGAGATTTATACTTATTATTCCTATAAATATCAGATTTACTCATATTTTAATTTTTTTCTAGATTTCTAATGCTTAATGGGAATATGTTAATCTCTTTTCCTACTAAGAACTCCATTAATAAAATTTTTATCGAAGAGATTTATACTTATTATTCCTATTCAGATTTACTCATATTTTAATTTTTTTCTAGATTTCTAATGATTAATGGGAATATGTTAATCTCATTTCCTATTAGGAACTCCATTAATAAAATTTTTATCGTAGAGATTTATACTTATTATTTTTATAAATATCAGATTTACTCATATTTTAATTTTTTTCTAGATTTCTAATGATTAATGGGAATATGTTAATCTCTTTTCCTACTAGGAACTCCATTAATAAAATTTTTATCGTTGAGATTTATACTTATTATTCCTATAAATATCAGATTTACTCATATTTTAATTTTTTTAGATTTCTAATGGTTAATGGGAATATGTTAATCTCTTTTCCTACTAGGAACTCCATTAATAAAATTTTTATCATAGGGATTTATACTTGTTATCCCTATAAATATGAGATTTATTTTGTTAGAGGTTTCTAGTCACTTCAATGATATCATTGAGTCACTTATCTTACTAGGAAATCTATTTATCATACGTATTTATTCATTCTGATTACTTAAATATTACTTTAAGATATTGTTAAAAGCAGGGATTCGAACCGAACCCGAACCCGGAGAAGTGAACCCGGGTTTTTAGAAAAAAACTCTGAACCCGAACCGAACCTGAACCCCATTTATAAAATTTCCAAAACCCCGAACCGAACCCAAGAATTTTATTTGAACCCGGGTTCAATCGGGTTCAGTGTATTATTTAAAATCATATATTAATATATGTAAATACAAATATTATATTTTCAAATTTCCAATTAAATGAAGTCTTAATAAATTTTAAACAATTTAATTCATTTATGCCATTTTTAAATTTATTCTCGATTCCTATTGGAGTGTTAAAAAATTTTAAACAATTGAATTAATTTACGCCATTTATTTTTAAATTTTTATCTTATTATTCTTAAAGATTATTAATTAGAAGAAAATGGTTAACAAATCAAAGTAAAAATTATTATATTGTTAATTTAAAAAATTCTAAACATCTAACTTAAAAATTGTTAAATGTAGGGCAGTTTTTGTGAACTTATTAAAATGATTTTAAAATTTATATATGCTAATCATTTTTTTTTGGTTCAGTTTAATTTTTACAAGATATTAATGAAGTGCATATTATAAATGAAATTAAATTTATAAATATCTCTTTTTTAATTCTGAAATCATTGCTATTTAAAAAAAATTGTTCTCTTTTTATAGATTTAAGATTAAAGATAAAGTCATATTTGATAAGCATTTTACCCTTAATAAAATAGAAAAAAAAATCAATATGTTCATATTGCAAAGTAAAAATGTCTGGTAATCACTTGTCAAATTTAGAAAGACACCTGGAAAGAAATCACAACAATGAATATTTAAATTTTTTAAATGAAAAAACCAAATATCAGGAATTGTTATTGGCAAAAAAACCTAAAATTAATATAGAAACCTTTTTTTCAAAAAAGCATATAAGTATAAATATATCATCTAATGGTTTGATGAGTTCTATACTAGAACTTGTTACTGTAAATGGCCGGCCTTTATCTATTATTGAAGATTCGGGATTTCAAAGAATTATAAATCCACTCCTATCTGGGCTCAATTTAGTTATAAACAAAGAAAATTTATCCAGAACTATTAATAAAACAGCCCAATCAATTAGAGACAAAATATCGAGAGAGGTAGAAGGAAAATTAATAAGTTTAAAAGTTGATGCAGTTCAACGACTAGATAGGTCAATTCTTGGTGTAAATATTCAATTTATATCAAAGTCCATTATAAATTTGAGGACTCTTGGAATTGTAGAGCTGAAAGAGAGATGTACAGGAGAATATATAAAAGAGAATATATAAAAGAGAATATATAAAAGAGAATATATAAAAGAGAATATATAAAAGAGAATATATTAAAAACTTTACTAAAATTTAAAATTAATATTCAACAAATATACACAATTACTTCTGATAATGGTTGTAATTTTTTAAGAGCTATAAAGCTCCTGCAACCTGAAACTGATTATGATATAAGGAGTGAATCAGCAGATGAGGAAAATATGGATGTAAATGTATATAAATATGATATTGATGATATACAAAATACTTTTTTATCAACTATTATATCCTATCCGATTTATAGTGTACGGTGTGCACACACTTCAGCTGGCACTTCAAGATGTTATAAAATTATCACCTATTGTGGAAACCATTGCAAAAGCTAGGAGCCTAAATTTAAAATTAAGACATCCCACTTACCAAAAGTTATTAAAAAATATGAAACTCCCTAAGCCTGTGTTAGATTGCCACAGATGGCATTCAACCCATGATATGTTAGAAAGGCTGATTTTACTAAAACCCAATATCGAAGATTTTTTTACAGAATCTGATTGACTGAAGATTGGAAAGAGATAATAACGATTGTTGAAATTTTAAAACCGCTAAAAATCGTAACCAAACTGTTGATTGATTTAAATTTGAATATTATTTATTTTATATATTAACTATTTAAGTTGATTATTTAATATGTTCAATTAACTTTTTATATTTATATATATATAATGTTTTTTAGATAAAAGATATATAGTAATAAATTCGATTAAAATTTAAATAGTAATAGTTGATTATAAGTCCTTTCTTTTATTTCTTTTATGGTGCCCCGGTTACGGTGGTACGTTTTTCGTTTTAAATTAAAGTTAAATGATAAAAGTTTTTAAAAAAAAATTAAAAAATATCCTTACCTTGAATTCTTTAGTAAAAATAAAAAGTAAACGAATTACTTATCAAATTCGTCGTTCGATATTGGAGATGATATAAGGACAAATAAAATTTTTTTGACTTTTCTTTTCGATAGTCAAAATTTTATCCAAATTTACAAAATTATAAAAGGTAAAAAAATTTTATTTAGAATAAATATTTGTTAACTTCTTGTTTCTTTTATGGCGCCCTGTTATGTTTTTGTAAAAAAAAAAAAAAAGAATAAAATATAGAAAATTTGCCTAAAATTAAAATAAAAAGTATAAATTAAATTAAATTTGAAATTGATGACTACCTTATTTATTGATTTGACTACCTATTGTGACGATTGCTTAATCCATTGAGATGACTCTATTTATATGACTACCTATTGTGACGATTGCTTAACCTATGGAGATGACTACCTATTATGACTACCTTATCTATTGTGACTACCTAATCTACTGAGATGACTATCTAACCTATGGAGACTGCGTAACCTATGGAGACTGCGTAACCTATGGAGACTGCTTAACCTATGGAGATGACTACCTATTATGACTACCTTATCTATTGTGACTACCTAATCTACTATGACTATCTAACCTATGGAGACTGCTTAACCTATGGAGATGACTACCTATTATGACTACCTTATTTATTGTGACTGCCTAATCTATTGATATGACCAATGCCTAATCTATGGAGATTTTAGCACGTTCTTTCATGCAAAAAGCTTCTTTCTTCATGGTGTCCCAGCTCTGGATGTTGGACTGGAATATGATAACCAGCACCTAACCTAATGTGACAACCTAGGAAGAACTGATATGGAAGTTGAACGATAGGTTATGAATTCTATTTTGTGAGACCAATGATATTAAAGTGTAATTAAAACATATGAATTAAAAGGGATTGATTTAAATAACCCTTATAAGTAATACTTAATATGATAAAAATGTTTTTGAAATAAAGCTTTTGAAGACAAAAGGTTATGTAAAAATTAAACATCATTATTTTAGAAAAATATTGTGTGAAATTTAAAATTTTTTTTAAGAGAGGGAAATGTGCATAATATTTGCATATTTTAACCTCGGAGATTGAAAATAAATAAAAATAAATTAAGTATTAAAACGCTACTAATTAAATATGGAAACGCTAAAAAATGTAAAACGCAAAAAATATAAAACGCTAAAAATATAAAACGCATAAAACGCTAAAAGTATAAAACGCTATGATTAACTTAACACCTAAAAAATAATATAATAATCATTTATCATTCCTTATTTTGGATTTTATTCCTTATTCCTTAAATTATCATTCCTTATTACATATTTTATTGTTCCGAAATTCAAAATTTTATTCGTGCATATTATTCATACATTTGATTTGATCAACTATTCCAAATTATATATTCCGATTTATTCCAAATTCCAATATTCAACTGGATTAATGATAATAACAATTTTGAGAAATGTGAACAACATACGATAAGGATATCAAACCAACGATAACGTTCAACGATTTTATCAAACCTACGCGATTGATTCAAGCCTACAATAAACGTACAAACTCACGCAACTCTAATAAACGATTTTATCAAACCTACGTGATAGAATCAAGCCTACGAAAACATTTGAGACTTATGCGCTAACCAAGATAAAACCGAGTACAATCGAAACAGGAAAAACTTCTAGGACAACAAGCTCTCGATGACTGCTGAGAAGAAACTTCGTTATTTGTAGAAGAGGGGGAATGTTGATTGATTTAAATTTGAATATTATTTATTTTATATATTAACTATTTAAGTTGATTATTTAATATGTTCAATTAACTTTATATTTATATATATATAATGTTTTTTAGATAAAAGATATATAGTAATAAATTTGATTAAAATTTAAATAGTAATAGTTGATTATAAGTCCTTTTCTTTTATTTCTTTTACAAACAATTCCAATCTGAACAGTTAACACTAACAGATTTTTATGCAGCATGGTTAAGATGCTGCATCGAACTGGAAAAAAATCCAAACCATTTTGCTCAATTACTATATTCTTGTCTTAAGAACAGAGAAGAAAGGTTTATAAAGAACGAAATTCTCTTAGCTGCCATATACCTGGGCCCAAGATACAAGGTTAATTAAAAGCTTAGTAAATTAATTATTTTAGATTTATATTAAAATTGTTATTTTATGAAATATTTAAATATAAACAATATAAATCCTTAAATATTACAGGTATTACTTAGTGATGATGATAAGATTTGTGCGAAAAAACATCTTGTCAATTTATGGAGACGAATTAAAAGCTTAACAACGCCAATTTTATCTGATGATATTAGTTCCGATGAAGTTATTGAACAAGAAGATGATTTAGAGAAATTGATACAACTTAAAGAAAGGCAGGAGAAAATACTTAAAAGAGGGCCAACGATTGCTGAGAAAAGTATTGGAACAATAATTACTGGATTTAGCGATTATATAAGATTAGATAAGAAGGAAAATATTTTGCATTTTTGGGAGTCTGCTAAGCTGGAACACCCTGAATTATATATTTTATCTAAAATCTTATTTGCTGTTCCTGCAACCCAAGTTAATTTTTCATATTTTCACATATAAATACATTTAACATAGGTTAGCGTTGAAAGATCTTTTTCACATTTGAAATTCATTCTTTCACCACATAGATCGAGGATGAGTGAACAACTCTTGGAAGATATTATGCTAATACGTCTAAATAAAATTTTTAAAATTGATACATGACTATATGCTTTGTATTTTTAACTATATTTGCCTATAAATAAAATAAAAAATTAATTTTTTATATCAAATTTATGTCTAGTTTTTTATTATGATTTAAATATAGAATTTTTTTTATCAACTCAAAAATTCTTGAACCAGAACCGAACCAAACCCGGGTTCAAAAATATTTCCCTGAACCGAACCCGAACCGAACCCAACTTTTTTTTTATACCCCGAACCGAACCCGGTCTAAAATTTTGTCGGGTTCGCATCCCTGGTTAAAAGGCTCGATTTGAGTCAAGTTTTTAAAAACGGCTAACTCAAATTTTCGCTAGCAAAATATTGACTAAGCATTGAGATTTAGCTAATAGATGCCAAACCTTTATGCTACCTCTGAGCAAGGTCTGCTGGCTTGCCTAATATTTTTTCGGATAAAATATTGAGTTAGCCGTTTTTAAAAATCGGCTCAAATCGAGCCGTTTAACAACATTACTTATAAATAATATGATATTATGAATAAGCATGCATGTTGTAAGAATAATGAAATATAAGCCTAACAATTTTATTATTACTTTTGCAATTATATCAATAGTATATATAAATATTATTATTGTAATTGATAAATATAAAATGATTGCAATTGTATAATAATGCTATATAAAATAATGATTGCAATTTATATATCAATAGTATATAAATTTATATTTATTGAGACTATATATTGATGAAAGTATATAAAATAAAGATTGCAATTTGCATATCAATTATAAAATTATATTTATTAAGACTTTATATTGATGGTAGTGTATAAAAATTTGTATATATTGCAATTGAATATTAATTGTATATAAAATGATGATTAAATTTGTATATCAATAGGTGGTATATAAAATAATGATTGCAATTTGTATTTCAATACTAATATATAAAATTAGGGTAATTACTTTTTGCATATCAATATTATATAAAATGGTGTAAATTTGATATAAAAAGCATTAAAAAATGAAAATTTTGACAGCATGATCATAATATTGATAAAGTGTGATGTGATGAATTGAAGGTAAAAACCTAATAATTAATAAATATCTATGTATACATATAATAGTTTTCTCTATTTTGAGAATATAAATAATTATTAGAAAATAGTAAATTTTTATTAAATTTAGATTTTATAAATTTATATTGGGCATTTTGCTTTAAAAAAATTAATTGATTTATTGAATAATCTTCAATGGCTATAAAAGAAAATAGCAGCATATTTTAAATTTACCTTGATTGGTTGGAGTTCCTAAATGGATTATAAATGATGCTAAGATTAAAATTTCCAGGTTAACGAGATAGCATATTTTAAATTTTCTTTGGTCGGTTGGAGTTCCTGATTGGATTGTATCAAGTGATGCTAAGATTAAAATTTCCAGGTTAACAAAATAGCATATTTTAAATTTACTTTGGTTGGTTGGAGTTCCTGAATGGATTATATCAAGTGATGCTAAGATTAAAATTTCCAGGTTAACAAGATAGTTTATTTTAAATTTACCTTGATTAGTTGGAGTTGCTGAATGGATTATATCAAGTGATGCTAAGATTAAAATTTCCAGGTTAACAAGATAGAATATTTTAAATTTACTTTGGTTGGTTGGAGTTCCTGAATGGATTATATTAAGTGATGCTAAGATTAAAATTTCCAGGTTAACAGGATAGCATATTTTAAATTTACCTTGATTAGTTGGAGTTCCTGAATGGATTATATCATTCTAAGAAGAAAATTTCCAGGTTAACAAGATAGCATAATAGTAATATATTCTATATATTACCTGGGTTGGTTATGGTCTCAAATGATGCTGGAGAAAATATTTTAGATAAACTTTATAAGCAGGCAAGAGCTATAATATGATTATTTTATATAAGATTAACAAAAAATATACCAGTGCATTGTTTGGATATAAGAAAGATATTGTTTTTAAATATCCCTTTACCCACACATTATGGCTTGGTGCATTTGTAATACATAGTAGTATTATAACTATCATATTTTCTAAAATGTAAAAGATAAGGTAATATTTATATATAAAGTATATATTATTGAGCAATCAGCTTTTTAAATTGAGCATACAAATTTTAAGCTTAAGCAAAATTTAGCAAAAAGTCACGCGACAAAACATCAAAACACAAAAAAAAGTATATCATGCGGCACGATACGCGCTAGGCCTATTCAAAAAAAAAATCGAATATTCGATTCGAATAATTCGAATAGAAACGAATAATTACGAATACGAATAATTACGAATACGAATAATAAATTATTTCTTTATCCGAATACTAATAATAATTTATTCGATTCGAATAAAACGAATTATTCGTAATATTTATTAAATTGCTTTTTTTTAAAATAAATCTAACATTTGTCATATCTATTTGATAACCTGCCAATCTGACAGGTGATGTGTTTATAAAAAGACTAGCAAAAATTTTATTAATTTCCCGTATTTTTTCAAAATTAATTATATTAAAAATTACATAAACCAAAAGTATATAAAAATATATACAAACCAAAGGTATATAAAAATATATTATATCTTTATAATAAAATATTGTTAGCTAGCCTAATTATGTTAGAGGAGAATGATTCTGATGAAATAGTTATGGTCAGTGGCGTAGCTTGGAATTTTCCTTAGAGGGGGTCCATACATATAAAAGCCTGAGGGGCTTCGCCCCCCAGATCCCCTTTAATTTGTTTTATAATTTAGTAGATTATTCTCAATGACTTTATAATAATACTATCCAGAATAATTTCAATAGTAATATAATATCCTTCCACAAACATCAAAACCAGAAAAATATAAATATTATTGGTATTTATTTGATATAAAGTCACCACTTAGAAGTCTTTTGAACGTATAATCTAAAAATAAATTTTTGCTCTGGGAGGGGTCCAAACCCGAAAACCACCCCCGTAGCTACGCCACTGGTTATGGTTGATGTTGACAAAATTTCTTCACAAAAAAGAGCGATTATATGGGATCAATATCAACTCCATGGTGAAAAGGCTGCTTGCAATCATTGCAAGAGCATTATTAAATGCAAAGGCAAAACAACATCGCCTCTTATTAATCATTATAATAGGTTTCATTCACATCTCTGTAAAAACAGTAATAAAATTGACACTTTTTTAAAGCCTATATCACCTTTTTCTTTATCTAAAAAAATTAATTATAAAGATAACTTACTAAAATTATTTATTAATAATAATTTATCTTTTAAAATTGTTAATTTACCTGATTTTAAAAATTTTATAAATGATCTTGATTCTTCTATAAAATCAATATGCTCCAATACTCTTAAATTGCATATGTATAATACATTTGCAGAAAAAGAACAGTTGGTAAAAGATATAATATCCAAAAATAAAAGTCAGATTAATTTTTCATCTGATATTTGGACAAGCCCAACTCAGGTTCCTTTATTAGGGTTAACAGCCCATTTTATTGATGGTAATTTTAAAATAAATAACATTTTGGATATTGCTCCAATATATGAACAACTTTCAGGTGATAACATATTTAAAGCCTTTATTAAAATAATTAAAAATTATAATATGGATAATAAAAATTTTTATATAACTCTAGATAATGCTACTAATAATAAAACATTTATTAATACATCTTCTTTAAAATATCCATCAATAAAAATAGGGCACATTCGATGCTTTGCTCATGTTATTAATTTAATATCCAAATAAATTTTAAAACTACGAAACATTATTAGGATGATACGTAATTCTCCTAATAAATTAAATTTATTAAAAAATATATGTAGTTCACTACATCTTCCTATAAATTTTTTAAAACCCAAATTGGATTGTGAAATAAGGTGGAATAGCACCTACCAAAAGGGGCTTATTGTTAAAGCCTGCTATAAAAAAATTAGTTAATGAAGTTATAACTAATATTATAATTCTTCAAGAAAAACAATTATCAGAGGTAAACTAAAATTTATAAATAGGTAAATAATACTTTATTAACATAACATACAGGAGGAATGGGACGTTCTTGTAAAAATTAAATCTATCCTATTGCCTTTGTATGAGACTACAAATATGGTTTGTGGGGAAAATTATCCTACTTATAATTTGGTTATACCCTATTATATTCTAATTCTTGAACCCTTAAAAAATGAGAAACCTTGTTTCCATAAAACCTCTAACAATGATTTTAAAGTGGCATGTGATAAATTGTTGGGCTATTACAATTTAACTGCAGATGATGCAATAATAGCTATAATATTGGATCCCAGGCTTAAAATAGAATATTTTAAATCAATATCTCTTGATTATGATATTGATATATCCAGGTTAACAGACAAGTTTAAAGAGATTTACAGCAGATATACAGGTATTTAATTTACCCCCATTTAAATACATATCATTTTATTTTATAAGCTGATGATAATTACAACTGCCAAAATAAGGAAGAAAGTCAACAAAACAGGCTTGACTTTGTTTTTAAACAAAATTATGTTCAGCTATGTGAAATCGATTTTTACCTGAGTGAACCAAGATCGTGATACTGATCCATTAATGTGGTGGAAGACAAATACACATAGGATCCCCATACTCTCAAAAATGGCAAGAGATTATTTATCTATACAAGGAACATCAACTGCGTGTGAAAGACTTTTCTCAGTTGGCACTAATTTGTTGTCAACAAACCGCATGTCGTATAAAGAAGAAAATATAAGAAAAACCCTTTGCCTTAAAAATTGGTTTAAAATTATAAATTAAATGAATAATATAATATTTTAATTTTGTTTATAACTTGATTATATTTATTTGTCATCGGATTATTATAATTTTTTCTGTTTGAAATCAAATTTGCAATAAAAAAATTTGTCAATATATTTGAGTATGATTTATTTTATTAAGAAAATTTATTTCAATTATTCGAAAATTATTGAATCGAATACAAATAGTAGATTTTATTATTCGTACGAATTCAAATAGTAAATTATTCGATTCGTCGAATACGAATAATGCACTATTCGATTCGAATACGTTTTTGAATAGGCCTAACGCGCTATTACTACTATTAAAAAATGTTTAAAAAGCAAATAAGCTAAAATGGCTGTCAAAATGGCCCCTATAGGTTTGAAGCGAGAGATTTAAAAATATTAAAAATTTAACTTTTACAGATTAGACAGATTTTACTATTTAAAATAATTTATGTAATTAAAAATTTAATAATATAAATTTAAGAAAATATACAATTCTAATATTAATAATTTTAGTATATATAATTCTAATATTTAATATAATTCTAATATTTAATATAATTCTAATATTTAATATAATTCTAATATTTAATATTTAATATAATTATAATATAATTATAATATAAATATAATTATAATATTTAATTTTAATATAATTATAATTTAAATATAATTCTAATATTTAATATAATTCTAATATTTAATATAATTATAATATAAATATAATTATAATATTTAATTTTAATAAAATTATAAATTAAATATAATTCTAATATTTAATATAATTCTAATATTTAATATAATTATAATATAATTTTTAAAGCAATTTTAATGTTATATAAAGAAATTTATATAATTAATATAATATAATTAATATTAAATTAATGTGATATAAAGAAATTTAGTGAGATAAATAAACTTTAAGCTTTGGGCATATAGACTTTAAGCTTAATATTTGAGCATACAAATAATAAGGTTAAGCGAAATTTAGCGAAAAGTTTGCCGACAAAATACCTAATTATAACTAAAAAATAGTAAAGGCGGTACGATACCAAATGAAATTACCAAAAGGGAAAAAACAATTGAATTTTCCAAAATAAAACGATTGGCATTCTGTCATTACCTGTCAAATTTATAACAATGATAAGTTATGTAACCTTGACAGATCTTTAATTTATAACATGTTCGAATGTCACATTATATATTTTATATTAAAATTCCAAAGCAGATTTTTAAATTGCAATTTACAAGCTCAATCGTTTTTTAGCCCTATGTAAAATAACAGAGCTAAGCCTAGCACTCATCCTATCTAATCAGTGGCGTCACTAGGGGAGGGGGGCGCACAGGCGCTCGAGTCCCCTGAAAAGTTTGAATAGCCCCCTGAAGCAAATAATTTTTTTTTAATGGTTCCTTAATATCCCCTTGAGCTAAAAATAAATGTTTTTAATTGCCCTCTGAATAATTTCTTTTATAATTCTATTGAGTAATATATCGATTTAATTTTATTAAAAAATTAATAAGACTATCTTAATTTTTATTAAATGAAAACTATTCTAATTATTAGATTAGATTATTACATATAAATTATACTATGTCTAAAAATATAACAATATCACTCACTAAATATTAATTTAGCATTAACAGTTGAAGCATAATTGACTTTTATTATTTAAATTATTATATAACCCTAATTAAATAAATATAATCATTTATTAATTGATTCATAATTTAATATTTTAGCCGAGTTCAAAATCACTAATCAACTATATTATTGATTTTTAAATTTAATTATCATATCTCTGTCCAAATTCAAATAAGTATAAGAGATTTATTTATAAAAAGTAAGTAGACATATAGTTTATAATCCTCTATTATATATAATTTTTTATAAAATATTAAGTAAAATGCAACTTTTACAGACGTAGCTGACAGTTATATAATATATTTGTCATATTTAGTGCTTTATCGTTTTTTTTATTGTATATTTTTTTTTATATATAATATTTATTATTTTGATTACGCGGAATAATATGGCTTTGTAACATCGGCGTGTTTTTTTTTGGCTTTGAATTGCAAGACTCAGGATGAGTCCTATTATTTTTTATTTTTTTATTTTAGAAAATTATTTTGTTATTTATTTAATTATAAGGTATAAAAAGGCCGAGTTTTATGCAAAATATGTTAATTTTTTTATTTTTTCAAAATTTAATAAAAAGTTTATTTTACATTTGCGTCTTTTATATTAACTTAGAAAAAAAATGAAAAAATCTTAATTTTGTTTTCTTGAGCAAATCCTGTGAGGAACTTATAGGTCTATTTTAGTCAACGGATTTTATTCCCCGGTTCGGCACCATGTCAATATTTGGTGCCGTGACCGAAAAATAAAAAGGTAAAAATTTTATTTTTATATTTATATTTTTTTTAAGTTAATAAAAAAAGGAAAAGGGATTACTTAACGTTGGTTAAGGGCACAGTGGTTTTACTGTGGTATTGATTTTGATATTTTTAAAATCATAGAGGTTCTGTGGAATTTT